AGGGCCGGTGTCCTGCAGAGTTTAGCTCCAACTTGCCTCAACACACCTGCCTTCAAGTTTCTAGCATGCCTAGTAAGAGCTTGATTAGCTGGTTCAGGTGTGTTTAATTGGGGTTGGAGCTAAACTCTGCAGGACACCGGCCCTCCAGGACCGAGTTTGGGCACCCCTGTATTAGCCTATCATACCATCCTTATGAAAGTACCATATTATTACCTTGGAGCTTTATAGTGTGGGACTGCCATCAGAGAATGGGATCATTGTAAAACAGAGAAACCAGATAATCACATGTCTGTCCATCCACTGGTCAAACTTCAGAAACCAGACTTGCTTTTTGTTCCTTATTTTGTGATATTCAGAGAGGCTAACATGTGCAATAATATTTTTGATAATACAATGTTTCTTGCTTTAATTCTCACATTCTAGTATTATTTCTCAGTCTAATGGCATTGATAAATTAACTTGATTGCCAGGAAATTATTTCTACATGCAACAGCGTGAATATCCAGTGCAGATGAATTCATCTGTTTAGGTGTGTCTTTAACTGATGATAGTGACTAGCTACATTCAGAAAAAGGAGAAATGTTCGTAACGCTGGCGTTTGCCTGTGTTTAGATCTAAATATCTTTCCCATGTCTCTTGCAGTGAAGGTAATGAAGTTCATCAGTCTGGTGATTTTGGTGATCCAGAATGTATCGCTCATCCTCAGCATCAGCTACGTGTGGACGTTGTCTGATTTCTTGGCCACATCTGCTGTTGTGATGGCAGAGTTTCTTAAAGTTCTTACGTGTCTGTTTATCATCTCGATGCAGAAGACTGGAGAAGCAAGCTTTTATGACATTGCGTGGGTTGGCAGAACTGTTTCAGTATAAATACTTGTGTATTGAACAGTGTAATGTGACAGTTGTCATAAGATGTTCCATTTAAGCGATTTTATAGATATGTCTTTGTTTTGAAATAAACAACTCACTTTTCCATTATATCATAATTAGTGGCAAATATGTATTGTAAAAAAAAAAAAAGCAAATAAACACTATGCAATTATGATAATATTTGCATTAATTTTTGTCGTATAAAGTCGCTTTATCACATTGTAGGCTACAATTAAAATCAGCTGTTAATAAATCTGAACAACGTCAAATATTATTACTTATGAGGACAAATGTGTATTTAAGCAGTAAAGACACATTTTGCACATTTTATGTTTTTTTTGCATGCCCCTTTTCTCAATCTGTATAGGTGTTGGGTTAATTGTGTGAGGATGCGTGTTGAACAGCCTCAAATAATGTCTAGTTTTGTTCAGAAAGAATCTGTATATTTCCTTACTGTAAACCATAGGCATAACTTTTATTCAAATGAACAGACATTATAAGATTATATAATAATTGCAATTGATAATTTCAGACTCGGTTGTGAATCATGCGGTGAAAAGACTACAGAAACTATTGCTTGATTCTGCCATCTAGAGGTTCCCGTAGAGCAAAACATACTTCTTGAGAGACAGTTTTCAATGGATTTTTGAGCAACACTATAGCAATAGTTTAGTTACCTGTTTAGTCCATACATTGTGTCAATTAAATGTTAAAGATAGCACAGATTTAATTAAGAATTAAAACTAAATTTTAAATGTAATAGTCTATGGTAATTCTAATATACAAATGTTTTTGCAAATAGTGCAGTAATAAAATAATATATTATTGGAAATATGTTTTTTCCTTCACTAAACAAACTAAACTAAACTAAACTAAAATCCTTAATCCCCAAACCTCCATGGGTCGCATAATTCCCTTAAAAATGGCTATATAAGAAAATAGCATGGTATTGTCATATGATATCAACAGTGTACCATGTTTTAAAAAAAAATTTTTTTTATTATGCAATAGAAGAACAACAAATACAATTACAAAGACAAGTAAGAACAAAAGACAATAAGGGTTACAAACAATACTCCAAAGCATACTATGTTAGCTTATAAGATTTACACCATGAAAGAGTCTTACATGCAATAGAATTATTAGAGTTTCTTAAAGAGTTTACATATACATCAAAATCTTTCCTGAAAATAAAAAAGTAGGGAGTTTTCTTTGAAAATTTACACTTATGAATGTAAAATTTAGCAAGATATAGCAATAGATTAATAATAAATTTACACTGAGAAAGATCTAAATTCAAGGAGTAACCAAAAAACACAATTTTTGGGGTTATACAAAAGTTTGGATATAAATATTTTTTAACAAAATTGGAAAAGTCAACCCAGAACACTTTAGAATAAGCACAGTCCCAAAATAAATGATTGATTGTTTCTTCAGACTGAAGGCAAAAGGAGCAATTGGGGGAAATACTATTGTTAAATTTAGCAAGTTTGTAATTTACCGGATAACAATTATGGATAATTTTGATAGAGACTTCAACAACTTTATTAGATAAGAAGAATTTTTGTCGAAGAAGCCAAAACTCTTCCCATTCTATATCACTAAATATGTTATTCCAAAAACTCACACAAGCAGGTAAAGAAATCTGAGATCTATTAATAATTGAACGGATGTCTTTGTTTGACATGGCATTGAGAAGACTTTGGTCAACAAATAAGTTAGTGTTATCAAAAAGAGGAGAGTCTAACGAACCTTTAGGGCCAGATTTTACTAAAGGTATAATACAAACAGTGTACCATGGTAGTACCTATTACTTTTTTGGTAATGTTATTTGTTTGACCCGAGCCTGCAGGCGGCGCTAAAACGTCTCCATAATTCAGAACACGAGAAAGTGAAGAAGATCTCGTAACAGGAAGTGCTTGTGTGTTTGGGGACGTCAACACTTTTCCTCAGCAGCTCTGATCATTTCCACCTCATTCACCGCATCTGTGAGCTGTTTCATGGGGCAGAGGCGGGGAAGTTATCATTAAGCTCTGTAACCATTACAGATCGAGCGGATCGTGTGAGTTTGTGGACAGATTGGGGTGCATGTTTGAGGATGATGATGGCAGCAGCAGCAGTCAATGAGAGTCCTAACAGAAGCACTGAAGATAAAACATCCACCCGAAGACAGAATGAAGGTGAATAACAGCATTTTATTTATTGTTTAAACGTCTGACAGCTTAAGGACTCTATGGTTTCAACGAATGCAACGAAGTCAACTCGCCCGTTAGAAAATGAAGAATGGTAACCATAGTTACCACCCAAATTCCGTAGTCACCTGTAATAAAGACGTACTTTGATATATTACCATGGTTATTGGACGTATATCATGGTAATGTTTGACGGACAATGTAAATAACATGACATATGAAAATGGTATTGAGGTATTGCCGTATGATATCATCACTTATAAAAAGTACCATGGTATTCTTTAAAGTATCTTAGAATGAATACCATGGTTCATGAGTATGGCAATCTTTCAAGTATTCAGCAAAGTAAAAAATACAAAGATTCTCATTTAAAGTTAGTCTCAGATTAATTTATTATGATTGTCCAGTAGCAACAATAACATTTGTAGTAATTCTGGTATTTTGTATTTTGTAAACTATTAGGAAAAAAAATTCATAGTACTATAGATTTTATGCATATACTATAGTATTTTTTGAAGTTCTATGTAAATAGCATGAACATGGCAGTCATTCAATACTATAGTGAAAATCAAAGTACCATGGAATTGGTTATGGATTACTACGGGACATTTTTTTGTAAGGGTAGTTTTGATGTAGAGCCCAAATAATGGAAATCAGGAGCTCGATACAACACATTTACGATATTGCAAAGGAAAACAATATCTATTTTTTTGGTTTTACTTCAAAAATATAGTCATTCCAAATTTACTTTGAGAAAGTTGCACGTCTGTTCACTGCATTTCATAGTTTTCTAATCAAATATTAACAACACATTTTTAGTTTTATTATTATTATTATTATTATTTTAAAAAGAACTAACAATGGACGTTTGTACAGCCTTTATTAATTTAGTTTAGTGTTTGTTAAGGTTAGTTCTGTGTTAATTTCTACATAGATTTTACATCTCAAGATGTAGAAGTTAACCATTTATTGTGAACAAACATGAATGAACAAAAACAATATTATATTTATAAATCAACAATCTAGATGACTAAATGCTGTAAAAATATAAATTGTTAGCTCATACCTAATGCATTGCACCAGACTTTATTCACTGTCTTTGTACTGCTGTGTATGTGTAAAAATTCTCTAGGACTTCTGTTGTAATGAATGTCATGCACCAAAAAGGTTAATCGTGGCAGTGATTTTCTCATGTAAAGCACTTTGAATTTCCTCAGTCAGTAAATAAACTGTGAAACGTTTTGACCTGCCCATTGTCATCTTGCAGCTCTTTTCCTTTATCAGATGGGTTTTGACGTTGTGACAGAGGGTGTGTGGCACTTCTCTCAGTCCGTCTGCATTTATCACGTTCTTTACAGACAAAAAAGACATCAGCGCACTATAAACCAGCAAAACAAGTTTATATGTTTCACAATTCCTGTTCATCATGTCTATAGTGTCCAAAGTCTCGAGAAACTTTACTTTTTTGTTGTTGTACGTAATCTCTCTAATAATAACACCATAGTAAATAATTATTTGTTTTGTATTTTTTAGTGAGATTTGTCAAATGTTTGGCTTTATTTATATCTTTGATATCTTTTGTTTTCTCACCTTTTAATGTTAAGTCAGATAACGTTGTAGTTTTGGCTGTTTGGTACCTAGTTTGCCAGTGAACTGCGTTGGCTAAAAAATGAACTAAGGAAAGTGTTTGGTGAATGAATGAAGTGTCTGTAAGCAGGGTGTTGCCACTGGATTGAGCAAACATTCGCCCGCTGTCGACGTGTGTAGGTGTGTCCTAACTGAAAACACAACCTAAACATTGACTAGCCCAGGGGTGTCAAACTCAGTTCCTGGAGGGCCGCAGCCCTGCAGAGTTTAGTTCCAACACACAAACCATGTAGTTTTCAATTGAGCCTGAAGGACTTGATTAGCTGGATCAGGTGTGTTTAATTAGGGTTGGAGCTAAACTCTGCAGGGCTGTGGCCCTCCTGGACTAGCCTCATTCGGAAAAATGAAATGCTGCCATTAAACTGACGTCAGTGTTCAGATCCGTTAATTTAGCCTTCAGTTATCCGGTTTCACACTGTCAGTAATAAAAGCTAGTTTTGACTAAAAGTTGACTAAAAGATTATGTCTCTTGCAGTCAATAGGAAGTTGAAGTACATCAGTTTGGCGATTCTGGTGATCCAGAATGCGTCGCTCATCCTCAGCATCCGTTACGTGCGGACGTTGCCGGGAGATCATTTCTACACCACGTCAGCCGTGGTGATGGCAGAAGTTCTTAAAGTCTCCACCTGTGTGGTCATCATCCTGATACAGAAGAGAGGTGCGTTCACTGGAATCACATTGTGGCATGTTACGTGCAGCGTGTGATTCAAAGATTAATGTCTTACCTTACAATACTTTTTGTGTTTTATTTGAACAATATATATATATTTATTGATTCAAAATGCATTTGAAAAGAAATGCCACCTTAATATTTGAATGACATTCATGTTATGTTTGTGTGTCTGAAGTGCCCAACACTAATCTATATAGATTTTTTTTTATGTAAGAAATTAAGATTTATATTAGTTTGCATTAAACTGATCAAAAGTGACAGTAAATATATTTTTAATGTTATAAAGATTTCTGTCAAATAAACACTGTGAATGCTTGAATTTTCTATACATCAAAAAATCCTGGAAAAGAATGTATCTCAGTTACAAAAATATTAAGCAGCACAACTGTTCTCAACATTGACAATAATAATAATAAATCTTTCTTGAGCATTAAATCATTTTATTAGAATGATTTCTGAAGGATCATGTGACACTGAAGACTGGAGTAATGATGCTGAAAATTCAGCTTTGCAGCACAGAAATAAATTACATTTTAAAATAAATTCAGATAAAAACAGTTATTTTTAGCTAGAGCATTTTCAAATTTTTTTAAAACAATTTTACTGTTTTACTGTGTTTTCGATTAAATAAATGCAGCCTTGGTGAGCATAAGATACAAAAACATTAAAAAAAAATTAGTACTACTAATAATTTATGTGTAATGATGCTGAAAATTCAGCTTTGCAGCACAGAAATAAATTACATTTTAAAATAAATTCAGATAAAAACAGTTATTTTTAGCTAGAGCATTTTCAAATTTTTTGTAAACAATTTTACTGTTTTACTGTGTTTTCGATTAAATAAATGCAGCCTTGGTGAGCATAAGATACAAAAACATAAAAAAAAATTTGTACTACTAATAATTAATGTATATATATATGTGACCCTGGAGCACAAAAGCAGTCTTAAGTCGCTGGGGTATATTTGTAGCAAAAATATTGTATGGGTCAAAATTATTGATTTTTCTTTTATGCCAAAAATCATTAGGATATTAAGTAAAGATCATGTTCCATGAAGATATTTTGTAAATTTCCTGCCATAAATATATCAACTTAATTTTTGATTAGTAATATGCATTGCCAAGAACTTCATTTGGACAACTTTAAAGGCGATTTTCTTAATATTTTGATTTTTTTGCACCCTCAGATTCCAGATTTTCAAAGAGTTGTATGTCCTAACAAACCATACATCAATGGAAAGCGTATTTTTTCAACTTTCAGATGGTGTATAAATCTCAATTTCGAAAAATGGACACTTAAGACTGGTTTTGTGGTCACGCATATATTTTAATTACTACTTTTATTATTAGTAGTAGTATTGCAGCAGTATGTCTGATGATAATATGCCTTTTCTTATTTTTTGTAAATACAGGTAATGTGAAGTCCTTTGTATCGTTGTTGTATGACTCTATAGTTGTACAGTATTTGGACACGCTGAAGTTAGCAGTTCCATCACTCATCTACACTTTACAGAACAACCTGCAGTATGTGGCCATTTCTAATTTACCAGCAGCCACTTTCCAGGTGAGACTGCTCCAAAATTTGTTTATGCCCTGTCTTCACCTCTCTCTCCTGAGAGATTCAGTCCTTTTCACTTCATACGTCCCAAACTGTAGACTTTTGTGACACTTTTATTTTTATTTATTTATTACACAATAAAGGGACAGTGTACATTAATCAACATTCATGAATGTAAATGTACCCAAATTAGCCCAAAGGCTAGTTTTCATTGGTAGTCCCTTTGCCAGATGTTATTAGGCCAAAAAACTATAATAAAAAAAAAGAAACAAAATTGGGAAAAAAAACTTGACAACGAAATTCAACCAAAAATTAAGCAACAAATTATACAAGTCTTTAAGTCTGCTTATAATGTTAGTTCAAGTTTCTTACACCAAAAGAGTTGTAATTTAGTATTACACAACTACTTTCTATCCTTTCTCTGATTAAACAGCCATTGCAGCCAAGTAGTTTTAAAATGTTTTATGTAGGAATTAAAATGCGTGAGAATTCTTGTTAAAAGGCATGTTTTTATTTTAGTATAGTATTAGTATTTTATTTATGATATTATAGTACTTATTAACATATTGAAATACATTCATATTTTCAGTTTATTTAAAGTGTTACTCATTTTGTTTTGTGAGTTTGTCATTTTTATTAGCTTTTTTTAAACTTCTATGTGACCCTGGCCTGGAGTACAAAACCAGTCTTAAGTCGCCGGGGTGTATTTGTAGCTATAGCCAAAAATACATTGTATGGGTCAAAATTATCGATTTTTCTTTTATGCCGAAAATCATTAGGATATTAACCCCTTAACTGTCACCCCCCATTTAAAAAAAAAATAGGCATGCAGGTGCACTATCCAAACTTAAATTGTTGTAATTTATGAACACTTTGGAATACAGACATAAGGTTGGTCTCTTTTTAAAGAAGAAAATCAGCAAATTATCGCAAAAGTGGAATTTTTTCAAAAAATTTAAGTATCAAAAAGTTATAGTAATTTCAATTTACTGTAAAGAAAATGCACTATATTAATTTTATTTTATTTTATATATAATAAATATTTTACATATCAGGTTTTACTCTAAAATTGGTATAAAATTAAAAGTTGATATAAGTTATGTTCCAAATTTGAAGTTGATATGAAAAAAATTGAGTTTCCTGTGAGATTTTATTTAGGGCGTTATACTACAAACAGCCACCGGGTGCCATCCAAACTCCATTGAATTTTTTTTAATGCATTTTTCTGTCATAAATGTCTAGATTTCTCTGTCAATATTACTTTTACCACCGAATATGGAATCCTGAGACTCAGACCTTTCCAATGATATGTTTTTTGTCAAGATCATAAAAAGTTTTGATTCTAAAAGACCGTAATTCATTTTGTAATATGACACTTGACACTGCCCACTAAGGGGGAGGAAACCGCCAAAAGATTTTAAAGTACCGTTTCCATGGTAACGCAATGTCTGATTTCGAAATGGTTTTCACAGGATGAATCTTGGGCTTCTAAGCTTTCAAATGATATATGATTTATGACGATTACTAAAAGATTTGATAGAGAAAAAAAGACAACAACAAAAAGAGCGCCAAACGTCCCACAGGTGGTACGGTGACACTTCTGTGTGACCCTGGCCTGGAGTACAAAACCAGTCTTAAGTCGCTGGGGTGTATTTGTAGCTATAGCCAAAAATACATTGTATGGGTCAAAATTATCGATTTTTCTTTTATGCCGAAAATCATTAGGATATTAACCCCTTAACTGTCACCCCCCATTTAAAATCAGACCTTTCCAATGATATGTTTTTTGTCAAGATTATAAAAAGTTTTGATTCTAAAAGACCGTAATTCATTTTGTAATATGACACTTGACACTGCCCACTAAGGGGGAGGAAACCGCCAAAAGATTTTAAAGTACCATTTCCATGGTAATGCAATGTCTTATTTCGAAATGGTTTTCACAGGATGAATCTTGGGCTTCTAAGCTTTCAAATGATATATGATTTATGATGATTACTAAAAGATTTGATAGAGAAAAAAGACAACAAAAAAAGAGGTCCAAACGTCCCACAGGTGGGACGGTGACAGTTAAGATCATGTTCCATGAAGATATTTAGTACATTTCCTACCGTAAATATATCAAAACTTAATTTTTGATTAGTAATATGCATTGCTAAAAACTTCATTTGGACAACTTTAAAAGGTGATTTTCTCAATATTTTGATTTTAGTTTTTTTTTTTTTTTTTTGCACCCTCAGATGCCAGATTTTTAAATAGTTGTATCTCGGCCAAATATCGTCCTATCCTAACAAAGCTTATTTATTAAGCTTTCGGATGATGTATAAATCTCTTATGACTGGTTTTGTGGTCCATGGTTGGTCACATATAGCTTTAATTTTATTTCACTTTAATACTATTTGTTTTATTTTAACTTTATTTCAATTACTGAAAACAATACCAACACTGTTTCTATGCTACATCTTACTAAATAAACACAGGGCGAAGTTGTATTTTATAATTTGTTTATATGCACCAATGTAACAGTGCATAGTAATGAACGTTCATATATATCTGCATATGGTTGATTTACAGTTTTAAATCCATTAATGGAAACAGTTTGAACAAATTCAAAATTTCCATCTAACACTTTTTTTTCTTTTCTGCAGGTCACGTATCAGCTGAAGATCTTGACCACAGCGTTGTTTTCAGTGCTCATGCTGCGCAAGAGTCTGTCTAAAATCCAGTGGATCTCTCTAGTGCTGCTGTTCGCCGGTGTGGCGATCGTCCAGGTGGAGCAGGAGGGCGGAAAACAGAAGGAGGCTCTGACCAGCACCAACCAGAACTACTTCAAGGGCCTGGTGTCCGTGATAATCTCTTGCCTATCCTCCGGGTTTGCCGGCGTTTACTTCGAGAAGATCTTGAAGGGCAGCTCGGCCTCGGTGTGGATGAGAAACATCCAGCTCGGGATCTTCGGGACAGTTTTGGGTCTCCTCGGCATGTGGTGGAACGACGGCGCCGCCATCGCCGAGAAAGGCTTCCTGTTCGGCTACACACCCATGGTGTGGGGCGTCATCTTCAACCAGGCCTTCGGCGGCCTTCTGGTAGCTGTTGTCGTCAAATACGCGGACAACATTCTCAAAGGCTTCGCCACCTCTTTTTCTATCATTGTGTCCACGATCACGTCCGTCTACCTCTTTGGCTTCCACGTGGACCTGATCTTCACGCTGGGCGCAGGATTGGTCATAGGAGCCGTCTATATGTACAGTCTCCCCAAACCAAACGCCAGCACTTCCAGCACCAGCACATCTTCATCTAGTCACAGCGAAGGAGGAGACTCGGAGCTGGAAGCTTTCCTCCCAAAGTCAGTGCTGGTGAAATGAAATCTGTGCCCCCTTCCATTAATCGCTCTTTACCTCTCTCGGTGGAAGTCCTAACTCTCTCCTCTTTCTCGTTTCTCTCTGCTGCTGTGGGTTTGGGTGCTTCTGTGAACACTTAACCATCTGGTTCAGACTAGGTCGTTCATGAACATGGCTGTCGGCACTTAATTCATTTGGAAAGCACAAACCAGAGAGACGTAGATGTAGGTTTTGGGGTTTTCAGTTTTTCTCTTTTTTATTACCAAAAACAAGCAGTGGCATTCTTCACCTTCGTAGGCATATCTCTCTCAAACGTCTTCACCTCCCTTCCCTGTTTGCCTTAAACAGCTTTTTCCTGTTAGACAACTCAGTCTTGGGGAAGAAGACGAGAACATAATTGCCAGGCTACTGCTGAGCAGAGGAACAGTGGGCTGGATTGACTTGAAAACTAAAGGGTGAATCACACAAAACCTAGGCTATAACTTCTACGTCAAAATGCAGAGAGAAAAAAAAAGAAAGCCTATTAAGTACCAATACAAATGTTTGCATTGTGAAATTTAAGCACATTTAACTCCCAAATTTGTATTAATGCAATGCAAATAAATAAATAAAAATAAACTTGCATTAAAATAAAACAAACATCTACTACCATGATACATATGTACTTTTGAATTTAAATGTGTTTTTTTTAATTAAAAACAATAAGAATTAAATTCAGTATAAATCTACTATCATGACATATAAATACTCTTATTTAAATAAAATAAAATCTTTAGTTTTTTACAATGTGCTTATTTATGTTGAAAATAGAGCAAAAAGTCACAATGCAAAAATCTTAATGGTCGACAAAACAGGCTTAATCTTCTTATTTAAAAATATATACATATATGTATGAAATTTCTGGTTCATTTTCTTTTGATTTTGGTGTCAAATTAATCCCAGACGTCATTTTGACCGGTTTTGTGAGATTCACTCATAGCTGCTTCTACACGCTACAAGTTCTTTGCCAAAATCATTGTTAATTGTGTAAATAGAGACGAAGAAAAATAATGGTTGTGAAAAGCTGTGTGAATGTCTGCCGTGTTTCCAGTTAAAACATGTTTGTACAGTGGCAAAGAGCTTGATTCATGCGTGTCTGTGGCACTTTGTTGCCGGCGTGTTGAGTTTGGTCTCATTCTGAGTGATTTTGGGCTGATGTAGTAATAGTAGAGATATGTCAGATAAAGGGATGCTTTTAAATCAGCTTGCAGGGACTTATAAGTTACATTCATCTCAAACATTTCTCTCTGCCAGTCCACTATGTGTTAAGAGATGCCATCCTCACAAGTCTGAAAATGGCTACTAATTGGCATTGAACTTCATTAAAATATTGAATTCAACTACAGAGCTAGTTAAATATTTGACAGGCAGGCAATCACTTAACACATTGTTTCCATGTGGATTCTTGCTTTGCCACCCTCGTCTTTGGCATTTTCAGCTCACAGCTCTTTTCTGTGCTGGAAATAGACTAACCTGCTCATTTTCTAACCAAATGGCACCTCATTGAAGGTTGTTTTCATTGTGTGCGCATATGCGTGTGTCTCTGTGTGAGGGGGACTAGTTTTGCTTAACCAACAAATGGTTAATGCTGTGCCTTTCTCAATCAACTTGTGACTGAATGGTAACTATAAAATGTTAATATAGTTCTTACTCTGTACATAATATCAAAATACTATATCTTCTTTTTATGATGCAAAAAATGAATCAAGATTTGTGGATTTATCTTATGTTATGTATTGTACAAACATTTTTGTGCACACATTTGATACAAATATGCCAAAACTGTTCTCAGTAAATCCCCACACACCTCAAGAGCACGACCTGATACAAAATGAATGTTTTATTTTCTGTTTTTGCCGTAGTAAATAGGGTTTGGGGGAAGTATATGGTTGTGGTTTGGTGAAGAGGTTTTGTTGCTCGTAATGGGTTTTATATGCATGTTAGGATTCATGTAATATCAAAAAGAACTGGGTTAAGTGCTGCTTGATTGCTAAATGATGAATTTAGTCAGTAGATTTGAATTCTTCATTGTTTTGGATGAAGAAATGTGGCCAGCAGTGATTCAGTTTACTTTCTTTGGTTGTTTACATGCACTAATTGACTTTTTTCTTTTGAAGTCAACATGAAATGAAAATGACTTACTTTCTTATTACATGATGCTGTGCACTTTGTGTCTTTGTAATGTTTTATCTAAACGTAACAATTTGCCCATCCTCAAAAGTATATTAAAATAGGGAATACAGAAATGTAATGGCTGTTAATGTACTAATATTATGACTATAACAGCAAATAATAAATATAAAATCCTTTCTCTGTGTGAGGGGGACTAGTTTTGCTTAACCAACAAATGGTTAATGCTGTGCCTTTCTCAATCAACTTGTGACTGAATGGTAACTATAAAATGTTAATATAGTTCTTACTCTGTACATAATATCAAAATACTATATCTTCTTTTTATGATGCAAAAAATGAATCAAGATTTGTGGATTTATCTTATGTTATGTATTGTACAAACATTTTTGTGCACACATTTGATACAAATATGCCAAAACTGTTCTCAGTAAATCCCCACACACCTCAAGAGCACGACCTGATACAAAATGAATGTTTTATTTTCTGTTTTTGCCGTAGTAAATAGGGTTTGGGGGAAGTATATGGTTGTGGTTTGGTGAAGAGGTTTTGTTGCTCGTAATGGGTTTTATATGCATGTTAGGATTCATGTAATATCAAAAAGAACTGGGTTAAGTGCTGCTTGATTGCTAAATGATGAATTTAGTCAGTAGATTTGAATTCTTCATTGTTTTGGATGAAGAAATGTGGCCAGCAGTGATTCAGTTTACTTTCTTTGGTTGTTTACATGCACTAATTGACTTGAAGTCTTTGAAGTCAACATGAAATGAAAATGACTTACTTTCTTATTACATGATGCTGTGCACTTTGTGTATATTAAGTATATTAAAATAGGGAATACAGAAATGTAATGGCTGTTAATGTACTAATATTATGACTATAACAGCAAATAATAAATATAAAATCCTTCCCATTTACACTTGTGGCCAAAAGTTTGGAATAGTTAGGATATTTTTAAAAGGCTGCATTTATTTGATTAAAATGCAGTAACTAGTACAGTAATATTGTAAAATATTTTCTTCTATTTGAATATATTTTAAAATGTCATTTATGCCTGTGATGCAAAGCTGAATTTTCAGCATCATTACTCCAGTCTTCAGTGTCACATTCATTATCAAGAAACATTTCTTCTTATCAATATTGAAAACAGTTGTGCTCCTTAATATTTTTATGAAAACCGTGATACACAACCACTCAAAATTTGGGGGCAAGTATGATAAAAAAATGAAAGAAAGAAAAAAATTTACAATTTTATTTGTTATTGCAAGGGTGCATTCAATTTGTCAAAAGTGACGGTTAATGAAGGCATTTATAATTTTACAAATAAAATAAATCTATTTCAAATAAATGCTGTTTAATGATCTTTATCAAATAATCTTGATAAAAAAAAATGTATGACAGTTTCCACAAAAATATTAAGCAGCAAAAACTTTTAATAAAAACCATTGATAATAAGAACTATAATAATTGAGCACCAATAATGATTGAAAATTCAGCTTCGCCATCACAACAATACATTTAATTGTAAATCATATTCAAATAGAAAGCAGTATTTTAAATTGCGATTGTATTTCACAGTATTGCTCTTTTTACTGTATTTTCGATGAAATAAATGCAGCCTTGGTGTGTATAAGAGGCAACTTTTAATTTAATTTTAATTTAATAATTATTCCAAACGTTTGATCGCCAGTGTATGTAATGCTCACTTTACACAATTAAATTGGTACCTAGGGTATATTTGTTATCATTTAATATGTTAAAAAGCTAAAAAGAGTTGTAAATGACATTTCATGTTGACTTTAATTCACAAATTGTAATGTTCAAATAGTTCCCTGCAGCAGCTCTAAAGCTGAAAGTCTAGACCTTAAACTCCATCAGTGAGTTGTTTTCAGAGACTTTTTCAGAAACTAATGAGCCGAGAGTGGCCTCAGGCAGCTATTGTGTTTGTGTGGTTATACGTTATCTAGAGGTGTGTGTGTGTGTGTGAGTGTGAGTGTGAGTGTGTGTATGTGAGTGTGTGTGTGTGTGTGTGTGAGTGAGAGAATTTACCACAAGCCATTTTCTGACACTTGATGCTGACCATCATATAAATCTTTCATATTTGTTCATGAGAGATTATTATGATGGTGGTATGTCAGAACATGGCCCTTAAAGATATATCATCATGAATATTAGGGTTACAAAAGATGAGTATTTTCAGTGAATCATTATGAAACAAGTACAATGTGAACTGAAAACTGTCTTTGTTTTCTTTTGGCTCATCGGTCAATAGATCTGATTCTAAATACTTGAGCTGAAAGTGATCGCATGTACAAAAATACAAAACATTGCACATGTCCAGTTGAGATTTATGTTTAATTTTTGTATTCTGTGACAACTGTTAACACCTCCTGATTGCAGAAAGACTGCGCAGATTTCGTCATCCCAGCTAATAAATCGAGGACGGCCTCTGTTAAGCCCTGTCTCTGGCACTATGGTCTATATTGTAAATAGCCTGTGAAGAGTTGAAGTACAGCCCCTGGTGGCTTATTTCTTATAGTGGCCTCTTTCTTGAGGCTGACAATAAACATCAAATAGAGAATAGAGTTTCTGTTTCTTATATGAGCCTCAGAAGTGAATCTTTCTTGTGTGTGCGTGTGTATATAACCCCAGTGTAGATAAAAACACGTCACATTTCACACCAAAATCAAAGCAATTAATTAAAAAAATTAAAAGGAAAAGGAATGCAGGTTTTGTATAAAGAATACGAAGGCAATTTTTAGGACAATTAAGGCAATAATTTCTCCTATATTTACATTGCTGTGAGAATGTAATATATCTGGATTTTTCACTGGGGTTTTTGAGTTAATTTTTTGTGTGTTGTTAGTGATTTTATTTCTGTAATATAATAATTTACACACAGTAATAATATATTTTTGATTTACATCAGCATACATTAAATGCAGTGATGCACAAGCAAAACAATGATTCATACATTTTAATAATTAATCTTAATATAAATGAGAGTTTATTAATCATGAATGAATCAATCATGATTTGCTGATTAAACATTTTATACATCAAACTACCTGAAAAACACTATGAAATCAGCTTTCAAACATGAAAAGCTGGTTTTTCAGGGTACATGCTGACATCAAAAATGCAACTAGAACAGGTTTTCAGAGATGATTTTGCTGCATGAGGATACTAACCACTAACTGAACTCTTATATAAATAAATGGCATGGCTAAAAGTATGAGGAAACCACACCACATGCTTGTTCAACTTTTAATTCCATGAACATTGTAATTCCTAAAAGCCTCCGCCTTTCTGGGAAGGCCTTCAACTAAAGATGGAGCAAATATCATCTTCGTGGACCATACATAAGGGACACTGTCATGCAGAAAAGAACACTATTAAATTAATGCTTATTTAAATTATTATTATTAATAATTATTATTTAAACCCAAAAATGAACATTTGCTGAAAATGTACTCACCATCAGGTCATACAAGATATAGATGAGTTTATTTCTTCATCTGAACAGATTTGGAGAAATGTAGCATTACATCACTTGCTCACCAATGGATCCTCTGCAGTGAATGGGTGCCGTCAGAATGGGAGTCCAAACAGCTGATAAAAACATCACGATAATCCACACTACACCAGTCCATCAATTATCGTCTTGTGAAGTGAAAAGCTGCATGTTTGTACAAAAACTTGTGGATTAGTGTGATGTTTTTATCAGCTGTTTAGACTCTGACGGCACCCATTGACTTTTTTTGCACTTGTTAATGATGGGTTTAGTTGAAATAGCTAAATCTGTGAATTACAAAGTTGCACATACTTTCATTCATGTACTGTGTAATGGGAATATAAAATGCAAGCAAAACTCAATTATACATTTCCCAAATGAGCAATGTAAAATTGCTGGGTATGTTTTACAACATATTTACCTCTGTGTATAATATTCAAGAATGCATTGACTTGTGTGTGTAAAAACAAGCATTGTGACAGACAGATACACATAATGTGAACTAGTCCACATATGTAGAGAAATATATAACACTAAATAGCATATTCTTGCTTTGTTTTTCTTTTAACCGCACAATAAATGTGTCATTTCTTTCTCTCTTCTGTCACTTTTAGTCCCAAGGCTCCAGGAAAGAAGAAAGGAAACTGAAGAAACATGATAAATGAGAAAAGATGATGAGAACACATTGTGCCTATACAGGTCCTACACTCTTGCCCTATTTCCAAAGGAAAAGATGAGGGTTATATTTCAAGTGCCTTATGCTCACAATATTAAACTCTGTTATGAATGATGGTACTTCTAAACTAAACTGTGCTGACTTACTTTATGGAAGCTCATATTTATGCTGATGATACCTCACTATTGTTATACATTTGATTTTGTGATTGACTGACGGTAACGGTATAATACTAATGTAAACAGATTTTGTGTTTTGTATGCTGGAACTGGAAAAATGAATGAAAATCCTCATCATACTTGGAATTCAAAAGGTGCTGCCTTATTGTGAAATAATTGTATAGTATTCTTTTTTTACTAAAGTTTTTCTTGTGTATTCATTAATGCGTTAATAGTGCTTTTTGTAGTGCCTTGTGCATTTCAACTGTTTTATGTGTTACATAGTATCACATACACTTTTAAAGATCAAGCAAACTTTATTTTCTCCAGAGTGCACTTTCAGATTTAAACTCCATTTTTTATGTTATATTTGTCAATAAAAAGAGTCCACCTCTTTAGATGACAACAACTGCATTTCTGACCTAAACACTTTGTATATAGTCACTGTGCTCTTTTTGGATGAGTTTGGTTTTAAAATACCTATATTTTTAATTGCTGAGCAGCAGTGAAATGTGGAAAGCAGTGGGCTTTTGAACATATAATTGCCTTATCATGTCACTATTCAAGGGAGCAGATCTAAAACTAAACTAAATATTTAATCATTTCAGGTCATGAATAATAAGTATATGGTTGTATTTATGTATGGAATAAACATTGTTTTGAATGTGATTTGCCTAGTTGATGTTATTACACAAATATGTCATCACAATAATGATCTATAATCGATTTTGGGGGTTTTAACTCCAAAATCTCTGGTGTCCAATTTTCCTCATAGGCTATTACCAGATATTCCCACATATTATTCTCAATAGAAAAATTAATGGAAAATTAAGGATGTTTTACTTTAATATGTTTGTAATTATTTAAGTGAAGGATTATTTTACTTTAATTGTTAATATATATTTTATTTCATTCTATTTTATTGAAAGGAGACTTTTACGCAAGCATTTCCTGGCCTCGACGCGGGAAGTTGTCATGTGTAGAATGAGTTGGCACACATACCGGAAGTAGATTAATGTGAAGCGTAATCAGAGTGCAGTGGAAGTTGTGACACGTATCTGCAAGCCTTTCTGTGAATGTTTCTGCTTTTACTTCAAATTCGGTAAGTTCTAATACAATTATTTAATTATCTACACTTCAGTCATAAGTAGAGCTCTTATGAATGCGGGTAATTGTATGAGAACTTTAAATAACAGCGTATTTACACATGTATTTTACTGCTCTGACAGAGACATGTTTAACGTTATGTCTATGTGTTTGTTTACATATGTATTCCCATTATACTTACGTATATTTACAGACATATATGTCTATTACCGTCTAGTAGTTTAAAGTCTTATTTTCCGCTTGCTTGCAGCCAGTCTAAGCAGATGTAGTTGACGCAGTACATTTGTAATTCATTCATTCATATGTAATATATTTGATGAGATCTATCAACAAATATTTATTCCTTCCCTTATTATCAAACATTTAGGTGTAAAATAATGATTTCCTGCCTTTAATTTTTTAATCTACTATGAATTATTTGATGAATACACATGCACTAATTTTCTTCTCTTTAATGAGCGAACTTGCTCTTTGTGAGTTGGGATGATGTACTACAAAACCAAGAAGTTTTCTTTGTATTTGACATGAATTGGTTATTGGTCGTATCTCATAATTTGTAAAGGCCTCAGAGATGATTTCATCTTGTGGCTGGGGCTATTCTGTAGTAAACATAAGATGGTGCTGTTGTATCAGTTATGATTTTAATGAGCATCACCAGAGGACTTGAGTGTCTGCATTTGATTTCATACATGGTAATAAATAAAAGGAATGGGTGTGTTTTGCCCCTTGGCTTTTGTTCAGACTTATATTTTCCCAAACCTTGTGCATATCATATTTAATGCTAATTTATGTTTTCAGGGTCTGGTTAGTGATGCGCATGTAATCTGTTAGGCTGATCATTGCTGATATGTTTTCATAGACTCGCAGGTAGCAGTCATGAGTCTTCAATGGACGGCTGTGGCTACGTTTCTGTACGCCGAGGTTTTTGCGGTACTGCTGCTCTGTGTCCCTTTCATCTCCCCAAAACGGTGAGTTTCCGAAGTTGTTGAAACACAATTCACCCAAAAATGAAATTTTGCTGAAAATTAACTCAACCTCAGGTCATCCAGCATGTAGATGAGTTTGTTTCTTCATCAGAACAGATTTGGAGAAATGTAGCATTACATCACTTGTTCACCAGTGGATGCTCTGCAGTGAATGGGTGCCGTCAGAATGAGAGTCCAAACAGCTGATAAAAACACCACAATAATCCACAAGTAATCCACACCACTCCAGTCCATCAATTATCGTCTTGTGATGTAATATCAGCTGTTTGATAATTTACTAAATTTCTCCAAATCTGTTCTAATTAAGGAACAAACTCATCAACATTTTGGATGTAAATTTACAACAAATTAAAATTTTTGGTAGGTTGGTTCCTTTAAGTGTGGTTCCTCTTAATAATCTCTGATAGTCATCAGGTTCTGAAAACTTTTATTTCACTTCTGATCCATTTTATTCTCTTGCACCAGTTATCTTCAACTTAGCCTCTTTCCAGGAAAGATCCCAGAGTGTTGCCAGTACTGAAATCTGTCCATTTGTGGCGAAATATTGTTGCTGTGTTACAGCCCTAAAACACGAATCATTCTGAGTATTTGGTAGAGTTGAGCCGAGTTGGATGTTTTGATTCCAGCACTACCAGGATAATTAAATTCTGTTCAATGCTTTTATTCCATGAAAAGATTCTTGTGAGGGAGCACAAAATAATGATCTTTAAAAAAGCATCATATGACCCCTTTAATGTGAGAGCATTCACATGACCTTCCAATCAATTTAAAGGTTGCAAGGTTGGGACACTTGGTAAACAACATTTTCATAGAATCACACAGATACACTCTGAGAATTGGTGTGTTTGCACAGACTCATCAAGAAAAAACCCCCAAAAAACAAGAAATGCTTCTCAAAGGCATCTGTATGTGCTCCTTTTTTGGTGTGTAGGAGAAATGTAAATTTTAATGATGTTCTTTGGACTTGTTGAGAAAGATTAGTGTTATCGTATGTGCTCTTTTGCCCTCTGTTTATTAAAGTGTTATCTCTGTTGTTGCCTTTGTAGATGGAGCAAATTTTTCAAGTCTAGACTGGTCACTGTCATCACAACGTATGGAAACACTGCCTTCATTGTCATCATTTGTATTCTTGTCTTTCTGCTCGTAGGTGAGCTTGAAAACACCTCACTGCATTGTTCTCATTAACCAGTCTTGTTCAAAGTTTCTGTATAAATCTATATATAAATCTATAATATGATGTTAAAGAGGATGTATCATTATTAAAAGTTGCAAAAGCAGGTCATTCAGAAATGATTGCTGTCATTATGATTGATGTCATAATGAGCTTATGAGCATATGACTGCCTATATTTACATATCAATGCTTACGTACTCAGCAGCTTGGCAGCGTTACTCATTTTGTATATGAAAAAGTTAGTCATGAAAGATGACTATGAATGACTATATGCAATAATTAAATCTGCAATAATTAAAGTAAAATCATATTTATCTGTTAATACATTCATTTTGACAGCCATATAAACATTTAAATTAAGTAATTTCTCGCTATGAGTTTTGCCTTGATTGAACTAGATTTATGAATGAAAAATCGAAATGAAAGTTTTTGTTTCTGCCACTACAGATGCATTTAGAGAAGTGAGAAAATACAGTGTGACAGAGAAAGTGGATCTGAGCAACAACCCCGTGGCCATTGAGCACATCCACATGAAGCTCTTCAGAGCCCAGAGGAACGAATACATCGCCGGCTTCGCTCTGCTCCTGTGTTTGTGAGTGTTTTTCCCCATGTCTCTCTCATTTTCTATGGTACTCGCTCCCGCAGGTCTCTTCTCGTTTCTGTATTTTGCCCACCTCAACATGTCTCTCTTTGGCACTGGAGCTTTGGCACCAGTTTCTGAACACGATCAGTTACATGGCACGGCCTGATTTCATTTTAGTTGACGGCTCCCGGCAGATTTCTGGACCATGCTTGTAAACAGAACTTCAACCGTACTCTCCAAACAGGGTCATTGGTTTCGCCATGTTCTGTCCCTGAGGAGTGCAGATGCACAAGTTGTTTCATTGTATGTGTTATATTGCGGTACCCCCGGTATTACCAGCCAACTGGCAAATAACATATTTACTCAGACTTTTTTTGTACTCTCATTAAGCGTGAGTGTAAAATAGTACCCTACAGGGTTTTTTTTGCTACAGGTTGTTTTTACTAGGTTTTGTCCTCAACTTCCATAACACTTCTCAACTGTCACTGTAGCCTGTTACAGCCCAGTGCTGCAGAAATAATCTGTCAATCAAATCAGACCGCCCGCCCACTCAAGGATATTCAGGACAGATAGGTTATTTGTGTCACAATAAAAGATATTCTGTGAGAAATTTGATCAGTGATGTTTAGTTAAAATATTATCAAAGTTATTGATATGAGATATGATTTTACAGAGTGTACTGTTCGTTGTGATAAGAATGATAAGGGGAACTTCAAAAGGTGAAATGGCTAAAATGTTTATATCTGTCATATGACAACAAATAATCTAGACTTTACTCAGTAAAAATGTTATATAGAAGCCATAAGAGACTTTATTTTGAAATGTGACCCAGTCCGAAAACCCAGAAACTTTAAATTCCATTATCACAAAGTCAATGATTTATTTATTTTTTGCTTTTAATTCTGTGGTTAACCAACAACCATCAATATATTCTAATATATTTTCAGAACCATCATCTTTCACAGCCTCATTGTATTTATACTTCAGTCTTGCAAACTATACTTACTTTACTGCTTGTAGATTTATAATAAAGACTGAAGAGAAAAATCCAGTTAGGTTTTTGTTGAGGGAACCAGGGTGATGCAATAGTTAGACCCTTCTATTTTAATTAAATACTTTGTGCATTTAATTTTAGTTTAATAAAATATTTTGTGCATTTAAATGCATCCATTTTTTAAAGATGAAAAGCCCATAAAATGCAACCAAAACAGATTGCAAGTTATATCTAAAATTAGTTGTGAGTTATGTTTTCTGAAATGTTGGTAGTTCAAAAGTTTGCTTGCTTGCTCGTGTCCATTTTTTAAAATTCACATTCACATGCACTTTGCACTTTTGCACAATGCAATTTATAAAAATTAAAAAGATGTTTTTGTAGACTTTTTAGTCTTGAGTGGTTGAGTGGTCTTTAGTCCAGTGTGCGTGTTAGCCACCCTTTTGCTCATTTTCAGTAGTTCAAAAGTCAAAATAGTTAAATGCACCAAAAATCATTATAGGTCCTCTCCTTAACCCTGGGCCTGCTTTATTTATTTATCCACACTGAAAGTGAAAATCCATTAATGTTCTGTTTGCATAAATTACTTACCTGTCATGCCAATTAGCTTCCTAATTTCTCCAGCACAGATTTATCTTGCATCCCCACCCTATTGGAGACAGTGTCTTTATTTATAGTCACAAAAGGTGAATGAATTGTGTACAGGTGTGGGCAGACAAAGAGCAGAATATGCCGCTATATTACAGTAGACATGGAAAGAATCTTATGTTGAGCTGGTTGGGGGTCCCCCACACTGTTTCCATTCACCAACCTCATCCACGGGTACTTAACTTCCCGCATCCCGATTGGCTGGTTCGTTGTTGCGCTCTATTCTTAACATTTGAGAGTCTCCCAGCTCTGCATAGTTTTTCCTTACAGGGGTTTCACCATATTTTCTCTGAATGGCAGGTTATTTATATCCTGCCGGATGATTACTACATCCATTAGCGATACTACTTCCCTTGCCTGCCGGGCTTGAGTGTCGTTTTCGTAATCACACGGACAGCTGCAGGACATGTGATCAAGCAACTGGTGAAGGGCATTATATTTAGCCTGTGTTCATGGCATTCTCACTGGCAGAAAGGCCATGACTCCTGTCACAAAATGGCCCTCCTCCACCTTGCCAGCAAAAACGCAGATGCCACAAAGGTGACTAAAGTGGCGCATGACGGTTTGACATGTGCTTCAGGCATGTTTGGATGCAGTAGCTGTGGGGACATTTCCAGTGTACATTGGAAATGGCTGTTAAGCGATTAATGCAAGATAATGGGAAACATTGAAACATAACTTGTTTTTAGACAATATACACTGAATGCAGTCTATTTGTCTTAGTCCACTGACACCTGACAAAACTTAGTTAGATTTATGCTTAAAATAGGACAAAAATTGTTAGTGGGGTAAGAAATACATTAAATTAAAGATATATTTTCTGATGTCTTCTGAAGTAAATTAATCTTTTATGGATGTTTGGAACTTTTTTTCTCTTTTCCTTTCGACATTTTATACACATGCATCTGATATTATAATTTTATTTATATATATATTTTTTAAAATTTGATTCTGATATTATCTACATATAACCAGTCATCATTATCTGAAAAATTGTAATAATCTAACCTTAAATATGATCAAGTATTCAAGACACACTTTTTTTATTGCAAAATAATCTAATATTTTTTAATCTCATAGAGTATATCAAGAAGGGTCATATTTCACCACCAAAATAACTATTAGAGAGAAAATGAAGCCTATTTTTAGGACCATTAAGTTTTGTAGCATTATTTTCATGGCAATACAATTTTTTTCTTTATTTAAAATATAGATAAAAAAGTAAGGTATTTATACATGATTTGTATTTGTTGTACTGCCTTTAATTTATTATGATTCTAATGGAAATAATTTTTGAACAGGACATTATTGCAGTGAAAATATTCTATTTTTTAAATTATTGTTTTGTTTTGTATTTGAGTTAACATGTCTGTACTGTATAAACACTTGCGCCAACTAAAAATTACTTGTTTTCTTATATTTGGCCAATTTAAAAATCAGGAGAGGTTAAAGTGAATCTACTGTAGGTCGGCTCATATTACCTTTTTACGTCATACAGAGCGTTTGAACAAAGTGTGGGCTTCTCTTGCATTTATGCAAGTTGCGGTTGTCCATGGTTCAGCCCATCTGCATTTTGGTCACAACAACTTTTTACGAAACCTTGAACCCTTTTACACATACACTGACATGAAGGGGATGCACGCCGCCTTTAGCCTCTGCATTCGAGCTCACGGTTCAGATGTCATCAGCCTGCATCTCTCAGCTCATCTGGCTCTATGAAACTGTAGAAGACTGACTGTGTAGAGTGAGGAAAATAGCTAAAAGCTAGTATACACTGTCTTTACGCTGGTGAAAATCATGTGATATATTTGCTTATGGTCGAGCAGTTGATACTCATTTGTTTATGCTGATTTTTGTCGTGCTGTCTTCCGATGGCGATTAATGCACATCAGTGTTTCCTAGAAGTGTCACGCATGTTTCTGGAGCGATGCTACGTAACTCAATCTCAGATTTTGGATAGAACTATTTAGAGAGATGTTATTTCTGTAGTCCACAGAAAAATAGGCATGTATGCTCAGATTTGACTTCTCCCTTTTAGATTTGCATGTAAAAATTAATATGTTATTCAAATGAAGATATGTGTGCCAAAGTGCTCATACTCTGAGTTTCATGATTTTATATACTTTTATTTACTTGTATACTTTTATATACTTTATATACTTTTTTCTGGATTCTTTAATGAATAAAAAGTTAAAAAGAACAGCATGCATTTAAAATAGATTTTTTGTTGTTGTTGTAAAAATATACACTACCGTTCAAATGTTAGGGTCAGTAATAATTTTTTTGAAAGAAATTAATACTTTTATTCAGCAAGGATGTGTTAAATTGATCAAAAGTGACAGTAAAGACTTAAATTGTTAGAAAAGATTTCTATTTTGAATAAATGCTGTTCTTTTTTACTTTATTCATCAAACAATCCTAAAAAAAAGTATCACAGGTTCCAAAAAATATTAAGCAGCACAACTGTTTACAACATTGATAATAAAATCAGTACATTAGAATGATTTCTGAAGGATCACGTGACACTGAACACTGGAGTAATAATGACTGAAGAAAATACGGCTTTGCATCACAGAAATAAATATTTTAAAGTATTTTAAAATCGAAAACCAATATTTTAATTTCACAATAAATTCATCATGATACATTTTACATAGTGTTTAATGGTTCAAATAAGTGTTATAGAATCTGTTACAAAAAAAGAAGAATCCAAGACACTTCTTCTGGTCCAAAAAAGTTAAAAAAGCCATTATTCACATTCTGGCCATCTCAATAAACATTAAAAATGCCTAAAACTCTGCACACTGATGCATTTCGGCCTTCAGCCTTCCTCAGAGTGTGTCAGGTTTCAAACGGATGACAGGTGTAGATATAATTATATATAAATTATATGTTTAATATTGAATGCTTTTTGTTTGTTTAATACCATCCATCATAAAGTAGTTGATGTCTGGAGCACAAATGTGTGGGACGAGTTACGCCATGAAGTTCAGTGTTTAGATTTAGGGGTTTGTTCAAATAATAGTTATAGAGATCGTTGCCTTTTCAAGCACCAATAATTATGCCAACGTCTGTTTCTGTATAATGCAGAATCGCAACGTAGGCTACTGCTGCGGTGAGCCGTAACGATCAGCTACACACTGACTGTTTAGTAAATCCACTCGTGTCTGATGAGTTCATGTTGTTTTTTCCCCTCCAGGCTGTTGAGACGTCTGGCCACACTGCTGTCTCAGCAGGCAACACTGATGGCCTCTAATGAAGCCTTTAAAAAGCAGGCGGAGGGAGCAAATGATGCTGCGAAAAAGTACATGGAGGAAAATGAGAAACTGCAGGAGGTGAGTGAATTGTGCATGAAAATGCCGGTTTTTCATGACCCTAAAGGCTTAAAAGGAGCAGAAACCTTTACCTGGTGACCATTGGTGTAACTACAGGACATGTGGGTGGGACAGTTGCACAGGTGACTATGATGAGTATGCTGTATTAAGAAACTGTTCACCCAAAAATTAATATTCTGTCATTGCTCACCCTCATGTGATTGTAAATGTCTGTGACTAACACAAAAGAAGTCGGTAAGCTGCTCTAGTGACCTATTTCAAATAAATAAATTATGGTGTTGGAAAGACATGAGAATGACTAAATGATGACAGAATTGTATTTTTGAGATTATTTATTCTTGAATGATTGCTAACATGTTTGTGATTTAGTTGTGATCCCACATGCACTTCATTAGTAATGGTTTAACATCACATGTTCTCATGAGTCATTCTGGTTTGTTAGGTGTTCTCCATTTGTCAGTCCTCAGAGAAACATTGTACATCAATATCCCAGTGCTGCAGACTTTGCATTTTACCTATAGAGGGCAGAGTTGCACATTATGTCTAGAAATAGGTCTTGAGTTTACACAAGATGTGAAGGTGAACTAAAGTAGCACTTGATACTCGCCTAGTTTCAAATGCTTGTAAAATTACTTGAAATGTTGAGTTACTGGACAGTTTTTTTTTATTTTTTTTTGGTGGTAAGAAATATAAATGGCTAGAAAATGCCAAAACCTTTGGGCCTTATGACCAAAAATGAAATGCATATTACTATTTAATTAAGCTCTTTTGTTTGGGGTTGGTAAGATTGTTTATTTATTTATTTTTTATTCATTTATTTATTTATTTTTTCAAAGAAGTCTCTTATGCTCACCACGGCTGCATTTATATATATAAAAAAAAACTGTAAAATCCGTTATATTGTGAAATATTATTACAATTTAAAATAATTATTTTCATACTCAAGAAACATTTTTTTTATTATGAATGTTAAAATTTAGTGTGTCCATGATGAATAAAACTATTCAAATGATTAAAAAAAATATACTGACCCCAAACATTTGAACAGTAGTGTACATACTTATGATGAGAATAGTTTTCATAAAAATATTTTACAATTAATAAATTCATATTAATTTTTATAAAATTTCATAGGAATATATTGAGGAACTAGTGAATATGAATAGGAAAATATTTTGACTGTTCTAGTTGTTATAGTATTGCATATCAAGAAGGCATTGTTGATTGCATCTTTAAGTAGGACAAGTAACTCAAATATTGAGGTGTGGTTTAGTGGTTGATAACTGAAACTTTATAGGTAGTGATAAGCTTTCATCATTGTGCTCTTGAGACACTTAAACACATTTGCGTCCAGTGGATTTCTAGTGAAATTCAAGGAAATTGCCAACCGCTTTGTCAGTTATTTAACAGATGTTAATTATACAGTGTAAACGATGTAGAGCGGAACTATAGTTCAATAGAGCAGTTCCATGTTGACAGGCCTTTTCAGATGCAGTGAAAGGAGAAAGTACTGAGTGCTAGTTTGTGTCCTGAGTGTAGAATACATATTGATGCCTTGACATCATCAAACTCGCTCATGGCTGTGTGCCAATGATTGGTTATTATTACAGCACTGTATGGATATTTCTCAAGCATTCTGGTTTGTTCTAAACCTCTGACCCTGAGTATTTAGCTTCTGCTGGTAATTCAGACTGAAATGGTTAACAAACAGACTAATTTCAAGCTTTGTTTGATGGATAAATTTAGTCTTGCGTGTTCTGTTGTTAGTTTGTAAGCATTACACTTGTAAATATATTTAAGTTTCCCACTGTGGCCTTTGTGGCGTGTTTGGAATTTTTTTTTGTGGTTTAATTTCCTTTTTTTTTTTCAGTTTAGTTTTCTATATAATATTTATTTAATTTTATTTAATTTTATTCAGTTGATTTAGTTTTAGGACTTCCAAAGTAATGTGCTAACTGGTATAATTTAACTAGCATTATTCTCAGCACAATTTACGTTATTGTTATCTAGTGGCATTTTCATGTTTAATGCAGATGAGCATTATTAGTAGTATTATTTATATACTATTTTAGTATTTATTAATATTTTGCATCAGCTTTTAATTCTATTTTTCTTTTTAATTTTAGTATAAAATATAATAATTTTGTTATGTGCTTTTTGTCATTTTTATTAGTTTTTTTTAAATTATTTTTTAAATCTTTAATTAATTATTGTTTTAATTTTGGTACTTCAACTTAAAATGTATTTCAGTTAGTTGCCAAGGCACCATTTCTAAATTTTGTTTTTTTAAGGTAACATTTTTTTGTAGTATTTATTAATATTATTAATATATTAATACTTAATTAATATTAAGATATTCTGTTTTTAATATCTTATTATTTGCATATCGAATTGCAATTGATCTTCTGTCTTACATTTATTTACATACTGAATTGTCATTGAACTGGTGTTTCTTGCATATATATTTAGCCGCTTTTACACTTCACTACGTCTTTGCCTATTGATTCTTGCAGTCAAGAAAAAAAATTGCACCGACTATTATGACAGTGGAGAAATGTCTCACACATGGTATGACATTTGCAAACACTGTTATTTCCTTGCACGTCTAGTTTGTTATTAAAAGCCCTGAAAACGGCTATCACATGCTGTGTTATTGTCTTTAGCACATGTAGTTTATTAGTATGTGGATGCCCGAGCGTGGAGAATGCTGGGATAGATCAGCACCGCGTGGCTCAATTACAGTGCTGATGTGCAGTAAGTCACCGCATTGATCTTTGCATGCTGTCACCCCATGCAGAAGCACGGCACACGTGGGTTATCACACACACACGCACCGCCATAATTCATGTCTGTCAAATGTTGTAACACCACGGAGCGAGCCATAAACAAGAGCACAAGCAGCACTGAATGACAGATGGTGCAATATTTCAATTTAGTAAATGAAGTTTGACTCTGGCAGAATGAGGCCTGTAAATCTCCCGCACACAGAGTGTTTTGCTGCTCTGTTCTTGAAGCGTCTGTACAGGACGTGTGTCCCTGAACAGGGCGAGATGACCTGACCAGGCCTTTGTGATTATTTCGCTGTGGTTATTATTGATGGATGTGAGCGCATAATCCATGTGTAGATGCTAACAGGGTCGTTCTGTGAGGGGACAAGGTGAGAACAGCACATGACCCCCTAAAGGGCCTGTATCGATCTCTCATCTCTGTTCAGGGGCAGACCGTTCTCTATCATTGGTCCCCAAGCAGGTGTTATAGGGTTCTCACATTTAATCAAGTGTGAACCAGATCATGAATTTTGCAAGGTTCTGCTTCATAAAATGTAGTTATATTGCAGCTATTAGTTATGTGAAATAGTTTTTTAATAATTCATAATACAATTAGCCAAGATGGATCCATCGGTAGTTTCGTGAGGGTTTGATTGTTTGGAACTGGCCGTTTCGTTTTCCATTCTTTGAGCATTTTACTTTTCGCAAATCCACTTATAATGTTAATCAAGGTTTTATTTTAGTTCATTTTGACCATTTTTCACTCTTTCTGTGGGAATTTAGCAGGCTGTTTTTGCTACTTGTACTGTTAAGGCTTTACTGTATAGATAAATGACCATTGCTATGACTGGCAAACCTCCACATATCGAAATGTAGGCAGTCATGTGGTTGTGACGTCATAAATGTGGCAATTTTGCACAATGTTTTTGCTGATTAATTCCCGTAAATGATCTGGATGAACTCGTGAGGGAGGTTTGCATTGTGAATGTTACAATGTGTCTGCGTTGTGCATTTATTTATTGGTTTATTTCTTTATTAATAAATAAATATATATTAAATAATAATTATAATAATATTGTTGACCTAATCATTGCCAACAATATTTCTTGATGATGTTTTAAGTTTGAGTGATATTACTGGATTTATACATTTGTATTGTTTTAATGGACTTATCCGACGCATATATAAATGATTCGGGTGTGCAAGGCACAGTATTTTCTGTTTTGGTCTATTATCAACTAAAATAAGATGAAAGCATCTATAACATACAGCTATAGAAATATGACTGGTCAAAAAGGGGTCAATTTAATCATTTGGGAATGCCTGAGCAGCTTATGTTTTAGATAAAAAAAAGAAATACTGAATTAAATAAATTAGTTTAAATAAAAAATAGTGTTGCACTGTGCTATTTCAAAGTTTTGTTTCACTGCACATTATTCTCATTTTCCTAAAGATTTAACCAGGGAAGGGGTTAATATTCCGAATGTATATTGATGCAGTTATTTTTTATTTATTTATTAGTAAACTTAGGTTTACAAAAATATTCTATAAGACTGTAGAAATTAAGACTTTATTACTTCCAATTCCAACTATTAAGTTTACAGAGAAATATGAAATGTTGCTCCTTCTGTTTAGCTTTATTACATTTAAATTTTTATTATGATTATCATTTTTATATTTAATTTATATATAATCTATTATAATCTATTGTGCCAGCGTGTCAAAGAAATTTGCATCTTTCATTCACAGGAAGCTGCATATGATTTACCCTTGCTTCTAAATTAAACGTATGAGTACATGACAAAAATGATGCAGTTTCCTAGATTAAGGGATTGACACAGCAAGCATCTTCTTCACTCTCCTCTACGCCCCATTTAAGGGTAGTCTTTTCAGCTTGGTGCTTCAGCTGTATTTTAACTTTCTTTTAATATATCTGCAGGAAACATCATCCAAAACATCTGACCCAGATCTAGTTGTTCCCCGGGCCAGAAAACATCTTTCCCTCGTTTGACATGAAGTAAAACACTCTCCTGTGTTTGTTCCCTTGTCCAGGTCACTTTGAAAAGGCTCATTTAAAAATGTCTGTGTGCCTTGGGCTGCATACCTTGTGCGGTTTAACATTAAAATATTCACTCAGTCAGGTTTTAACAATTTGTGGAACTCTGCTGTTATGTGTTAATTTGTAAGCAGAGCAAGAGTCTGTTAGTTAGCGCTGACTGTTACTGACGTTTCAGACAGTTATTGTTCATTAATGACCCCATGAATTTCACTGTAGTTGTGCTTAGTAAAAGTACTAGACAGTTAAATTTTAGCAGATATGTACATTTAACTTTTCTTCTCTCTCTTCTGGGAAATACAAATATTGGTGACATCTTGGTCTCAGGACTTGCTGTGCACATGTGGTGCTTTATCCCACAATGCATGACCTTTTTCAACGGATTCCCAGTGTTTTCCCTTAGTTTTTATGAGATGATAATAGGATGTTACTTTAAGTTAAACATGCTACCTGATGAGGGCATGTGACACATTTGCAAATTGCATACTTAAATATATTTAAATAAAAATAGTAGGCTACATTAAATGTTCAGCATGCATTAAAGGGGTCATATGATGCTGCTAAAAAGAACATTATTTTGTGTATTTGGTGTAATGAAATGTGTTTATGCGGTTTAAAGTTAAAAAAACACATTATTTTCCACATACTGTACATTATTGTTTCTCCTCCGTTCCAAACCTGTAAGACCTTCGTTCATCTTCGGAACACACATTAAGATATTTTTTATGAAATCCAAGAGCTCTCTGACCCTCCATAGACAGCAACGTAACTACCATGCTCAAAGCCCAGAAAGGTAGTAAGGACATCGTTAAAATAATCCATGTGACATCAGTAGTTCAAACTTAATTTTATGAAGCTATGAGAATACGAGAATAAGAGACAGAAGAATTGTTGAAAAAGTATTCTCATAGCTTCATAAAATTAAGGTTGAATCACTGATGTCACATTTCTGGGCCTTGAACGTGGTAGTACCCTTGCTGTCTATGGAGGGTCAGAAAGCTCTCGGATTTCATCAAAAATATCTTAATTTGTGTTCTGAAGATGAACGAACGTCTTACAGGTTTGTAACAACATGAGGGTGAGTAATTAATGACAGAATTTTCATCTTTGGGTGAACCATTCCTTCAATGTAATTATTCGATTGGATCATGCAAAATGGTATGTGATATTATTGGTTTAACAGAACAACAGAAAAGTCAACAGAAAAGTCATTTCATAGGTGGTGAAAATCACATTTCAATGAAAGTTTATTAGAACGAACACTTTTTCTTTGGAATAACGTTAACAGAATGCGTTAATGATTTGGCCACACAATAAAACCAGGAGCATTTATTGAGACGTTTATTGGAACATTTGGTCGTTAAAAATTTGGGGTTACCAGTGCTGCATTTATTTGATCAAAAATACAATAAATGCAGTAATATTGTCATATTCTGATTTAAAAGAACTGTTTTCTATATGAATATATTTAAGATTTTAAAATGTGTGATGCAGAACTGAATTTTCAGCAGCCTTACTCCAGTCTTTAGTGTCACATGATCCTTCAGAAATCAATGCTGTTTAGTATTTTTGTGGAAACTGATACATTTTTTCAGGATTCTTTGATGAATAGAAAGTTCAAAAGAACAGTGCTTATCTGAAATATAAATAATTTGTAACATTATGAATAGTGGTCGACCGATATTAGTTTTTTGACAGCCGATGCCGATATCTTGGAAAGCAGGATGGCCGATATAATTTTATTTATTTTAATTAATATTTAAGAAATTAGAAAATTGATTAAAATATAAATGTGTTAAACATACTTATACTTTAGATGACAAAGTATTTTCACATATAAATAAATATTTAATACAAATATACATTCAAAGATTTGTTTAAATGTTATAAATGCATATTTGCCTAATGCTGACGGCAAACAAGAAAGTATTATAATGTTTGCCTTTCTATTACTAATAATATAAAAGCAGTCGTTATAAGACTTTTTGTATACATTTGAATTCCTTTGTTTAACCGTTCTATCTGATTATTAGACAGACTTCTATCCGTATTTAGACAGAACCGTTAACGACAACGGCGAACAAGAGGAGGAGAATGTGAGCACTGTGTGCCCAGGCGCTGTCGTTCTCAGCGCCGTCAAAATAAAAGTCCAGCCTCGAACGCATCGGCCAAAAAGGAAAACTTTAAAAAATGCCAAATATCGGCCGATATATCGGCATTAGCGATATATCGGACAACCACTAATTATGAATGTCACTCTTTACTGTAACTTTTGATCAGTTTAATGCATCCTTGCTTCATTATTTAATGTTGTCAGACATGGGTTCAGAGTACATAAAAAAAAAAGACCTACAGTGAGCAACACAAGATGACCTCAGCAGAACTAGACAAAAGAATGAGCTTAGTAAGATCGATTCCCACGCCTCCTTTCACATGTGCACTGTATTTAGACAGTGCTAAAGGGTTCATGACACTTTGATGACCCCCAAACTGAGGTCTCCATTGGGTCATCTTGTACCAAAGCACATTTTAAGGGTACTGCACAAAACCGTAAGTGAGCTTGCAGGTATTATTTTATTAATAGTTTTCAGATCAACCTGCCATTTAAATGTTATGTAAATAAAATGAGTAGTGTATTAACACTTCCTTTTTAAAAGTGTGGGTTCAGTAAGATTAAAAAAAAAAAGAATACTTTTATTAATCAAGCATTAAATTGAATAAGAAGTGATAGTAAAGACTTGTACATTTTGCACAAATTTCTATTTCAAATAAATGCTTTTTTTGGTACTTATTCAATTTGTCAAAGCATCCTGAAAAAAAAAATGTATGAAGGTTTCCACAAGAATATTAAGCAGCACAACTGTTTTCAACATTGATAATAATAAGAAATGTTTCTTGAGCAGCAAATCAGCATATTAGAATGATTTCTGAAGCATGGTGTGACACTGAAGACTGGAGTAATGATGCTGAAAATTCAGCTTTGCATCAGAAGAATAAATTACATTTTAAAATACATTGAGATAGAAAGCAGTCAGTGATTTTAAATTGTAATTATATTTCACAGTATTACTGTTTTACTGTATTGTAGATCAAATAAATAAGAGACAATCTTAGCAACCCCCCAATATGTAATTGGTAGTATATGTCAATCACATGGTCTCTTCTGGTCTCAGTGAGCAGTATTTGGGCAGATTAAGCTGCAAAGTGGACCAGAGGTTCCACTGAAAGTCAGAGGTCTGGCTCTGTGATGCTACTGTAATCTGGAGAATTTGTAGACCTACAGAAAAGGTAATTTAGATCTCTGACTCATGTATTTCTAGTACTTATTGTTTGCTTGTGTGTGCAGCTCTTCAGAAGTCAGACAGCGATGTGAAGGCCATGAAGAAGCAGGCTGAGAACCTCACAGCGGAGTACGACCGTCTGCTGGAGGAACACGGCAGACTGCAGGTCAGAGCTCATGCGTGTGTCACACTGCTAACATCTTTCCCATTCTAGCACTGCTCGAGTCCCTTGTGAGCTGCCTCACTGTCTTCAAAGACTGCTGCCTTCTAAGGCAGCATACTAACTGAAGTGAAACCTGAAGTGACCTGAAAAAAAGATGAATGATTTCAGTAGCATCCAAAGTATGCGAGTTTAGACGTGGCGAGTCTCTGGTTAAACATTTATTCTATTTCTTATGCTAAACCTCGTATGCATAAATGCCAAGTATTATTCATTGCTGCAAATCTGTTTCTTTCAATGAACCATTTCACTGGTTTGCTTAAGTCTTCCCTCAAAAGTGTACATAGAAGTTCCAGCATGGCATTTTACATGAACTTAAATGTATTTGTAGAAGGATGTAGGTGTTTTTTTTATTTTTTATTCATGTTTATTTATAAATTGGTTAATTTGATTATATTATTCTTCCATTGAGCTTTCATCAAATTACTTCATGGAAATAAGAAAGAAAGTGTTTAATTGTTCTTTTAAATATATTTTTTGGCAACAGTTCATGTTTGGTTCAAATTATTTTGGTTTACTCTTAAAAGAAATCACCGTTTTAAACCAGCTCACAATATTGAAAATCATAGAAAGGTTAAAAAATATCAGTATAATATTTTTTTGTTTTGTCTATACCGCTCTGCCTGACCATATTGATTTGATAATAAAATCTTGCTATTATGTTATTAGTTATTAATATGAATGATGAAATTATAAAAATTAATTATTATTATTTTTATTGATGTTGCTTTTAAATTCTTTTTTAAATCCATATTAATGTTCTTGGACTGAATTTTCATTAATTACCTTAACATTCAGAAAACCTAATGGCTATAACGCCTTAAAATAGTACCCAGATTGGTAGCTCGTTATGTTTTAAAACATTTTTTAAAACAACGTTTGAATGCTCTGCATTTCAGTTTCCAATCTGCCCTGATGCCAGCTGTTCATGTCAGTCTGCCTGCATCTGCTGGAGTTTTTTTTTTTGTTTTTTTTTTGCTGCTGCTGAAAGCAAATGTTATAATGCAGCTAGTGTGCACTAAGGATACTGTGGCATCTGTTTTAACAGGGATTAAAGGTATAACAGTGTTTAAAGAACTGCAGAAAAATATCACAGACTGAATCCCAGTTTTCAAAACAGTACTGTCTGTCCTATTGTGCAAGATGCATTCACAATCACAGTTAGGTGGAATTATGCTATTCTCTACTTGAGCTACAGGAAAGCTTTAATCTCACACGTACTGTATATTAAAGGGTGAGATCCATAGTGTTGGTAAAAGCAAACAAATTCAGCAAATGTCACATCTCCGAGATCTTTTGGAGCTGAGGGGCAGTGTACATTGGCACCATTGGCATGTGCCCAGTTGGCATCTGTAGCATGTTGAGTGAACGTTATGAGGAAACGTGTTTAAAAGAAACAGACGCTTTCCTGAAGGGCCTGATATCAGTATACTAAGAAAAGTTAGAAATTAGACCTGCTGTCATCAGCCTGTTGCTCAGATTACATGGTGAGCGTCAGTTTTCAAATATCATAAGCAATGTATCGTAAAGTTTAACTTCAAGATGCCAAGACCCAACTCAAAGTGTTTTATTAAATGCACACAAAGAAGTTTACTCTTTCTCATTTGCATTTATATGGACCAGTGTATCAATACTATAATAAACCCATATTTACTTTCAAATATATATCAAATATACTTTAACATTATAAAGCAAGTAAAATGAGACACATGGTCTTCTCTCTGTGGCTGATGATACTAGAAGAGATTCCATCACTCTCTCTTTATTCACTTAACTCAAAGAATTAAATTTTTTTTTTTTTTACTTTTCTTTTTTTCTTCTTTTTCTGTGCTTTTATTACTCCGAAGTCAGTGCACCTGTCAGTCGTCCTCCTCTGGAAACATGAACGTTATGACCGGTAGTCTTCTCAAGTGTGTGTAAGTGAGACCGAGAGGGTGGGAGTCAGATAGACAGGCTTCTCTTGTTTACATAAAAATAAGCAGCTCATAAGAGACCGTGACTCATGAACACGTGTTGCATGTTACACGCTCAGCACACAGCAACAAGGTGCTTACTGCTTTCATGCACATCACAGCGCTGCGAAGCCATACATTTTTAGATATACAGTGTATATATATATATGTGTGTGTGTGTGTGTGTGTATATATGTATTGCATTTTTGGAATCTGATTACATAATCCAGATTACATGAAATCAGTTACTACCCAGCACTGTATATATAAAATGGTGAATTATATATAAATATATTTATACAACAGTTCGTTCTGGTTCTCAAATCTGATTGGTTGAGAACCGTGAGATATTGTACTGGTATCGCTACAGGAACGCCCTTTCACAATTTTGTATCACTCCGCTTGTTCTGGCCGGGTCTGTTTTTTTTAAAATTATTATTCACTGAGCTAATCGTAGAGTACGTTAGTTAATATAAGAAGAAACGTCTAGCTTCGCGGTCTCTCTCTCATTTGGATGC